CAGACTGCCAGACTTTGCAGAGATTAGTCAGTTTGGTCTAGATTAGCACCCTGGGTTGATTGGTTCTGGAACGAGTCGCTTCCGATCTTGAGAGTCTAGTCTGCTTCTTTTCCATTGTGGGTTGTGTCTATTTCTATTATCTGGACCGGCTGAGATGGACCTCGTCACCAATATCGCATGGAAAGAGAGGAACACAGAGTCACATAACAGAGGAAACAAATGAGGAGCTGAGATACGAACACTATAATTACAAAGTGTAAACGATTGGAGGTTTTGGACGCTACCGTCTTCCCCCGAATACAACGCCCGGATATTATAGCTGTGCATTTGGTGCACGTTTAAATCCAGATACGGCAAAAATTACCGGGCGTTCTATTCGGGTGAGGACGCTAGGAAGGGAAAAGTGGAAAGAAACATTTGGCTGTGTCCTCGGATTCAAATGGGGTAATCTGGCAGAAACAATAAAGCCAGTGACGCTTCGTATCAGCAGAAGCTTTGTTTCTCGCAGCCTGAGCAAAGGAAGGCCTGTCAGTGAGAATGCGTACCCATGTATTTGGTTTGATAGGGGAAGAGGAGCTGGATGCATTACTCCCCCGGCACATCACTTTACATGTACGTGAACGCTTTCAGGACCAGGTGCATTCCGACCGACGAGTCCAACATTTTGAATGTTCCTGGTCCCTAAAGCGTCCAAATGCATGTAGCTTTGTTTCTCGCAGCCTGAGCAAAGGAAGGCCTGTCAGTAAGAATGTGTACCCATGTATTTGGTTTGATGAGGGAAGAGAAACTGGATTCATTACTCCCCCGACACATCACTTTACATGTACGTGAACGCTTTCAGGACCAGGTACATTCCGACCGACGAGTCCAACATTTTGAATGTTCCTGGTCCCTAAAGCGTCCAAATGCATGTAGCTTTGTTTCTCGCAGCCTGAGCAAAGGAAGGCCTGTCAGGAAGAATGTGTACCCATGTATTTGGTTTGATGAGGGAAGAGGAACTGGATTCATTACTCCCCCGACACATCACTTTACATGTACCTGAACGCTTTCCGGACCAGGTGCATTCCAACCGAAGAGTCCAACATTTTGAATGTTCCTGGTCCCTAAAGCGTCCAAATGCATGTAGCGTGTTGTACAGTGAAGCAAGACCTATCATAGACCGAAGGTTCTGTGAGAAAAGAAAAGAAAGAAGGGCTCCACAAAAAGAAGCCTATGATATGAAATCTTATCGCAAGCTGTCCTTGGCGTGGATGGCGTCACAGTAATCAACTTACAGAAATCAAAATTTCCTTTTCCGACACTGTCATCGGACTGCTTTCCAGTTTTGCTTTACGTTTCTTTAGAAACTTTCTATTTTTGTTCGGTGCACCAGTTTCGTCCCATTTCGCTGTGACCAGAACTTATGGGTGTGTAGCATTAAACCCCCAACATGCCAGAAGGCTATTTTCTGTCAAAAGCTATCTTTTGATTCTTTTGCCCAATCCTCGCCTTGTCGAAGCTAGGTGGCAACCAAAAAAAAAAAAAAAAAAAAAAACTGCACCCACCAACCTGAACCATCACTGTGACAGTAGTAACCACATCGGTCGATAGCCGCAGTTCTGTTCTCCAGCCACATTGCAAGCACACCACCAATGTATCTCCCTCTTGTTCATCACCATGGGCCAGTGAATACATTGCCGACACTGGTTGTTCCAGCTAACAGCCACATAAGTAAGAGATGACCATCGCCTTCCCTACCAAGGAAGAATCAAAGCAACCCAAGTCGTACCTCGAGACCTAAAGTGCACAAGTCCTACCTCAGACCTAAACTCCTCTGGTCCTGCAAGAGCAACAAGTCAGTTTGCATTTAGGTAACACTGACCATCTCAGGCTCGTGCGGATTAAACTTCAATCATGCGACGATGTTCCGCGAGGCGCGCACATCTGGAAAAATGTGTTCAAAGTTTGAGCTGTACACAATGGGTAAGCACACACAGAAGATTAGCACATAGAAGATTAGCGCAGAGAAGCTTACCTCCTCCACTCTAGCATTCACCTTACTTTAGACGCACGCCTCACGGAACACATGGAAGTTAGAACTGTACACCTCTCTCTTCATCACAACGAAACGCTGGCCCAGACCTCTCAACAAGACAAGGGCCGCCTCCTCATCCTCTGTTGCTCTTCTTCAGAAGCACACATGCGATCAAATTTCGCCGATTATTTCGGCTTAGCTGCACAGCAGACAGAAATCGCACAGATATCAGGTGGTCACGGGCAGTCGATCCCCTGGCAATGGGGCAATCAATGCTGCCTGGTGTCGAGTCCTCCAATCACTCGTATGAATGAGATGTTTCGCAGCTAGGTGATGAGACACTGGACCCGGTTTCCAGCATGTGTGCTCCCCAACAATATAGACAGGAGCCAAGGGCAGAGCACTAAAGAAAAGAAAAGAAAAGAAAAGAACACAGAAATTGCACAGCCAAGTGCACAATGAGGGAGCAGTGGAACCTTGGGATCGAAGGAAGTTCGAGAGGAGGATGTATGCAAATGTGTGGATGCTATGTGGTAAAATTTCAGAGCACCCATAGTATAAGCTGTGAAATGCACACAGTAAGGATTGTGTGTGATGAACTTTGCTATGAAATGCGCCGTACTGCATGCAAAGTTCATCACACACAATCCTTATGCTACAAAATGCAGTAGCGCGCACGCAGTCCTCGTTCGTTAAAAAAATAAAAAAAAAGAGCTTGTGCATGTCGAAGATGGGCTCAGGGACCCTTTCAAGCTCAGGCGTCCAGGGCATAGTGCACAGCCCTCGTTATAAAGCATCGTGTGGTGACTATAGTACGCAATCCTTGCATTACAAAGGAAAGGAAAGCTCGTACTTGCATTCTGCGGCACAGAAAGTATCACAGCGAAAGTTAGAAACTCAGTAGTGCGTAGTACACAGTTAGTCCACAGTTAGTAACACTTAGTACTGAACAAGTCCACAGTTAGTAGTCCTTAGTACATGATTAGTCCGCAGCTGAAGTTAGTAGTACTTAGTACACGATTAGTCTGCAGCTGAAGTTAGTAGTACTTAGTACACGATTAGTCCACAGCTAGTAGTACTTAGTAGCACACTTAGTATACACTTAGTCTGAAAAACACGGCACAGAAAGTATCACAGGGAAAGTTAGTACCTTAGTGGTACTTAAGTACACAATTAGTCCACAGTTGGTAATCCTTAGTATACAACAAGTCCACAGTTAGTAGTACTTGGTACACAATTAGTCCGCAGTCAGCAGTACTTAGTACACAATTCATCCACAGAACACGACGCAGAAAGTATCATAGGGAAAAGTGACTTAGTGGTACTTAGTACACAATTAGTCCACAGTTAGTAATACTTACACAACCAGTCACAGTTAGTAATACGTACACAACAAGTCCACAGTTAGTAGTACTTAGTACATAAATTAGTCCACAGTTAGTAGTACTTAGTACACAAGTCCACAGTTAGTAGTAGTACTTAGTACACAAAACAAGTACACAGTTAGTAGTAGTACTTAGTACACAAAACAAGTCCACAGTTAGTTGTACTTAATAAGTTAGTACACAATTACTCACAAGACACTATCCATTAGTACACAAACTCTATACATCAATAATCATCCTGAAAAATTATGAACAAAATGTCATAACATCTGAAAAGCCATCCCATCTATACACTTCGGTGTATTCAGCAAAGTTACTTGACAAATGTCACACATGTATACTCATCTACACACACTTCGTGTAACGTACGGCTAAGTTGGGCTAACACATGTTACACATCTACATCCTTCATATATACACCTGCTGTGGTTATCGAATCTACGGAACAAAATGCTTTACTGTCAATAGCTATATCCCTGTACTATAGTCATCTATAATAAAATTGACAATCAATTACAGTATAAATTGTATAGTACATTTTACTAAATTTGTCGAGTCCATTTTGACAGGACATCTATGCTAGAGACTAGGGGGTAACATTTTCACGCACACCCAACCACTTGTTTGAAGTGGTGAGAACATGAAATTCCACCTCACAAAGGTAAAAAGAAAAGAAAAGAAAAGAAAAAAAGAAACCGATGTGCTACCGACACAGAATGCAAATTTCCAAAATTAATATATCCACCTTCACGCTTCGGCAATTGCCCAGCTCGATGAAACTTTAAAGGTGAGGATTAAACAAATTATGATGTCTGTTGAGATCCCGCCGCCATTATTCAACAAGCCAATCAAAGAGCGAGACGGAACTTCCTTCACAGTGATCCCTTCTTCCACTTGCGGAGTCGTTCATGAAATTCTGCAAGCGGCTGTTTTCTTACTAAGTAGTAAATCCCACGTCTTCATTCTCCCACCTGTGGGGCTCCCCTTGGTTTTCCTTAAACCACTAGTACTTGGCCCAGCTATTGGCCGCAGAAAAAATAGAGTAGAAATGCTTCTACTTGGATGAATTTGGGCGCTCCTGTAGTGGCTAATACGTTTCCTAAAGTCGTGGCTTGTCAACGGCCATGACTTTAGGAAGAACTGGTGGTATAATAATGGGTTATGAATGAATGTGTCCTCATACTATCAATTTGTGTCAAACCTATACGCCATACGTAGTCAAGGAACAGGGCCCTGCATCTCCTCAGGAAGGTCCATACGCCATACGTAGTACATGGTATAAAGACCGAAGGTCCGAAGTAATATTATTTGCAGGTACAGACCGTTCAAAATGAAATGAAATAGAAAATTTATGGCATAGAAAAACAATTGGAGACTAACTTCCAGGTCTCCTCAGGAACAGGGCCCTGCATCTCCTCTATTTATCCTCCTCATGTTAATAAGCCACCTCCTTCCCCCCTCCTGGATCCGCCCCCCCCCCCCCGCTGCTTCCCCCCCTTCCACCCCCAAATCACCATCCCAACCTGCCAAGCATCAAAATATGCCTTCCTCTCTCTCTCTCTCTCCAGTACAAGTCCATACTCCCTCGACGTGCCTCGAAGTACAGTATTATTGCTTTATTGGCCCATAATATTTATATTAAGCCCCGCAAATTGATCTGGGATCTGCTTCCACAAATGACTAGATGTCAAACCTGATCTTGCATCTCTGGACATCGGTATAGTCTGCACGTTCCTCCCAGTCGTCCATGGGCATTTTCTCAATTTCAAGTGCACTCAACGGCAACTCCAAGCAGAATAAGGGCCGGCATTTCCCTCCATTAAATCCTCTCTAGCATCTCTGACATAATCGCATGGACCTCCACGTACCACCTGTTGGAATATACCTCCCTGGCTCTCTAGACTCCCCTCTGCACTGGCTGCTCGCAGCATTAGGGTGCTGATTTCCCCAAAAACACTTCCCATGCCACTTCTGCGATCTGTCTGGTCCCCCGTCTCCCACCTCTCCCCGTAAATTTTTGTGCCTTCTGCAGGAAATGCCCTCCTTTCAAGTTGAATCTCCGCCGTGGGACCCCCACCTCATCTCATGCTGATTTTCTCATACGTTAGTCTGAGAAATATCCTCTGCCTCCCTGGCTGTCTATACTGACTGGCCTCACCATTGAGCGCCCAATTCCACCAGATCTACTCTGCATGGCATCTCCTTCAACAGTATGCCTGTGTCTCTAATGTCTAATCCCTGCTCTCCTTTTCTCCATAGCCAGTCTCCTCTCCCCGTCGTTCATGCCTTTTGTCACGGAACTTACTCCCTTGTGCTCTGTTTCTCCTTCACTTGATGGCATCTCTCTGTTGGTTGTTCCTTGGTAGAAACTTCCTCCCTCCTCCCTCACGTTCGACCACCTACCTTTGCCATTCCCGCAAGATTGTGAACTGACGTGCCAAAGAATCTGGTCAACAACATCAACGCGTGCATGCGCAATCTGAATCCATCAAACTTGGTCAGTTCATCCCTCCTCCCTCGCCTCGAGCACCCATGCATGCGTGCATTCTCCCGTCACAATTCTTTGGCTACCTGACAGTGTGCCATTCCCGCAAGAATGTGAACTCAGGGGCCCAAGAATCTGTCTAGTTGACATCATCGATGCATGGATGCGTCCATGCACGATGTGGTCCATGACCCTGTAGAAACTTGCTCCCTCCTCCTTCACTTCAAGCACGCATGCATGCATGCATGCATGCATTCTACAGTCATGATGATGGTTCTTTGGCAATCTTCCCTCCCTTCCCAGTTGTCTTTTCCACCAATCAACAGGACCAATGCGCAAACCAACTCCCTGCCTAAGATCTAAGATCCCATGTGTAAGATCCCATGTGCTATTGTCTATTCTCCATGTCCTATTGGCTATTCTCCACCAGACTTATTAAACTGTTTCCATCTGCTCCGTACATTGGGAGGGTATGAGGTATAAATGCTGCTTGTATCGTCGTACCATTCCATCTCAATGCGGTCACTGCACCGGTGACGGCTTCGGGTCTCATCTTTTCCTTTTCTTGCCGTTCCTCAGCTGATATTGACTATCCTGATGCGATAGCTGCGCTGCATGCACCTTATGCAAGAGGGGGGGGATCCTGCCTCCCTTCTAGCGGACAGAAGATAATCAGCCTGCGCAATGTAAACCTCAAATGCGCAGGTCGGTGCCATGGAGACTTAGCTGCAAAAAGGTACCTATCATTTCGAAGATTGCCAAAAGAGAGTTACGCGTCACAAAGGCCAAAGCTGCCAAACCCACTTGACCAACACAGCATCTGGCCTTCATGCGGCTCCTGCCTTCCAGTGGACCGAAGATAACCAGCCAGCCGTCTGAACATAGCTAAACCTGCAATACACAGGTTGATCCTCCAGCCTTTACAGGAATAGCTATCTATAATTTCGAAGACTGACGAAAAAAAGAGTTACACATCTGTGTCAGAAGGAATCTCGAGCGATGGCTTTCGTGGATCAGCTTCTGGATCGGCCACCTTTCCCACATGCTCACTTTTCATGCAGTCAGGCGTGTATGCGTCCTTGACTACTGAAATGGGAATGTGATGCTCTTCGCCTTCAGCAGCAACCTCCAGAGAGCTCACTCTGAAGGACGGATAGAACTTCACACGTGCATACAAGAAGAAGATCGCAGTGCATACTAATGGGACGATGAGCAGCCCAGATCCTGGGGCCTGCTTGATGCCCATGTACCCTACCATTGTGATTTGCATCGTCAGCAGCGCAGCGAGAATTCGGCAACTGATGTGCGGCCACATGGCACCATTACTCTCAAACTCCGGAACACAAACATTGAGCGCCTGCAAAAAAAACCCGCAAAAATGTCAAAAAAGGGGAGAGAGAGAGAGTAAAAAAAGGAAGATAATCACAAACAAGCTGGCAACAATAGGATTCAAAGCTCAAACTCTGGACCTGCTTATCAACATTTGAAAGCAAAAACTGTGATTGCATCAAAACGGAGATTTTTTTATTTTTTGTCATTTCTGAACGAAATTGAAGATCCGGTTTTTTTTTTTTAATTCATGAAATAGGGAGTGGTACGGCATTCCGAAACGCCCTACCCCCTCGACGTATCTGGAGTCCACATACATCCACGGGGTCCGACGTTTTTTTGGCCTGGATGTATGTAGACTTAACTAAGTCCAGATATGTAGAGGGGGTAGAGGGCCCCCTATTTCATGAATTTGTGGCCAAAATAATAAAATATGGGTTTTCAATTTCGTTCAAAACATATAAAATGTCCGTTTTGCCGAAATCGCAGTTGAAAGAAGATGCGGAAAGGGAGATCTTTGAATCATACAAAAGGATCTGAAATCCACTCATCCTACCAGGATTTACCTCTTTTTTTTTCCCCCCCCTTTTTTTTTAACGACGAAAGGGAGATCTTTGAATCATACAAAAGGATCTGAAATTAACTCATCCTACCAGGACCTACCTCTTTCTTTTTTTTTTTTTTTTAACGAGAAACAACCCGAGCTGATGCTAGGGGTGCTGGTAGGCGCAGGCGCCGCAAGCACTCCGTGGGAGGCTCCATCTATCTATTGGTGGGGAGCAACACCTGCTGGAAAGAAGCGGGTCCATCGGCCCTGAACATTGTAGTAGTTTTTTTGGAGGAACGTGTGTGACTGTGCTCACAGCCAGCTGCAGGACACACCTACAAAGGAAGAAAGAAAGAAAGAAAGAAATTTGAGTGGTAGAGAGCTACCCTGCAGCAGCGCAGCCAAAGTTGATTGCCTGCATGACAGCCTAAGGTAAGGGGGTAGAACGCCCTACCCCCTCGACGTATCTGGAGTCTACATACATCCACGGGTTCCGGCGTTTTTTTGGCCTGGATGTATGTAGACTTTCACTAAGTCCAGATACGTACAGGGGGTAGCTACCCTGGGTGAATGGTAGTGTACACGCGTCCCATGGCTGCGACTAAGGGAACTGGACTCAGATTCTAAGTTCTGTTGTGCTTCTCCCCATTCACCCAGTCCACAGCCCCTTCTCGTTACCATCACCGACGATTGACCATGTGTTCATGTGGGCAAGCAAACCTCCCATTCCCGAGCCACCACCCTTCAGAAATAGACGGAAAGCACAAGCTACGCTATCTACCTCTTAAGCATGAGAGTCAAGGGACGATAATCTCAAACAAGCAGCCAACAAGTCAGGACAATCTCAAACAAGCAGGCAACCAGTCAGGACTAATAAATGTTGACGTAGAGGCAAATCAAGACTGTGAATTGTTCTTCCAACCCAGCACGATAGGAACCGGTGGTCCACACAATTGGCAATTGTGCTTGGCAGAAAGCCAGCGGTACAAAGCGACCGAGTGTGGGATTACGACTGAACACCTAGAAGTCACGAGAAAAAAAAGAGGGGAAAAAAGATTGTGAAAATTGTCTACCGGGAGCTTCACGATGTCCGGGAGCACCGGAACGGAATCTCAGACAGGAACAGAAATGAAGACGAAAGGGCCAGTTTTCAATTTTCATTCTTATATTGGATTTATCTTTTTCAGAAGTCTCAAATCTTGTTTGTTTTTCCCTTGAATAAGAAGCGGCATAGCCCTGAACATTTCTATATCTATTAGGATTTGAACCCCAGATCTGTACCGTTTAGCGGCTTTAGCCACATGGCAGGTACATAATTTCGAAGATTTACAGACGCCCTTAAACCGCTAGTACACTGCCCCAGCCTTGCAGAAAGACTTTGTCGCCACAAGCAAAACTCGGAGGCCCTGCGCGGCGCGGGGCGCCGTTGGGAAAAAAAATTGCCGCCCAAGAAGTGGTGCGGGTTTCATGCTGACACCCACGGGCCTATGTGTAGTGTGCTGGTGCTTTAAGAGTTCAACCCTATACTTCCATTTTCATCCTCATTTTCACTTTTCTTCTCGCAGCATTTTTGTCTTGTAAATCTCATCGCTGTGTTCATAAACTTCATCGTCTTTCCCCTCTTCCCCCCTGCCTCCCTTTCCCCTCTCTTCACTCCCTCCCCTACCTCCCC